AATTATTCTGATGTTAAGTGTCTGACATTGAAAGCAACATTGGCCCTGGAGTGGTACCATGTCAGGTTACAAAGAACTAAAGGCCAGAATGAAAAGGCCACAGAAAAGCAGAAATGAGCAGTGCAACACCTACTGCTGCACAGCACTTGGCCGTGACTGTGATAGTCAAATAAAGAGAAAAGAAAGTTTAATTGAAATGAAAATAGCATAACTGATTTAGACTACACCCAAAGAAGCCTAAGGCTGAAGGGGGATGAATACAGTCAGAGCAACCAATAGTAAAAAAAAAAAAAATAGTTAAAAGACAGTGGCTGCCCAAAAGTACAAATATAAACAGTTGAAATGATTCATGTGTATAAACATTTCATAGCTATATTCAGCAACAGCAGAAGATTTGACTAATTTAAGAAGAGAATTTGTTGAAGGGATCTGTGATAAAATTGTATGACTAAGTTCTCTTACAGTTCTAAATTCATAATAGTTGAAAGTTGTAACCTTTTTTTGTTGTTTTGATATTAATGAGAAATTACCTTTGCTTCATTCTTTACACTTATAAAAATAAGGCAACTTCTCAAATACTAAAGCAGTGGTTATTGAACTTGATTTGATGTAGTTCAAAGAGTTCAACTCCTTTTTATATCTGGAGGATCGAAATTCATCCTTAACTGCAGCAATTTATTTTGGAATATATCCAGCTACTTAGCCATAAACTGTCTCAAAGGATCTTTAATCTGCTCATGCTGCAGTGAATATAGGGTTCATAATTAGAATTTCAGCTAGTGAGAGAATTTAAGCACAGAGAAATAAGATTTTCTCAGGAGAGATTAGAGTGCCTATGTTGAAAGACAGGTGTGCCCAAGGACATCTTAACTGATGTTAACAAATGGCTGCTTGACATGGAAAACAGCCAAACTTTTAGCAGGGATTAGAACTGGGGAGTTCCTCTTTCCCAGGGTTAAATACATAGTACTGCTATTGTTGCATGTACACTTACTAATACTACTGCATTCACTACCACTATCATTTCCAGCACTATTATTTCATATTACTATTTACCAGTACTATTATTTTTGTGAGGTTACCCTACTCACTAAAGCTTTTGGTATCTCTTAAGAGACTTTAAAATGAAGATGGATTATGTTGCTGTCATCCAGCTTGTACCTCTATATTCCCAGAAGAATACTTGATACCAAATGTTTTGAACTGTATTCAGTAGTTCATTGCCTCTTCACATAATTTAGGCATGATTTGCTTCTTTTCTCTTTCATGCTGCTTCTCAGAATATGATGAAATATTCATCTGTGGTTTTGAGATTAAATGGAGTATTATAGCTTGCAATATACAAATAGAATTTAAGAAGAGTATAATAATTTCTTTGTGTCTTTTTTCTATGCTTCACTCCTGTAAGAAAGCTAAGCAAAAATTTTCCTCCTCAAAGATCAGTCAAAGGATGCCATTAATGAAGACATTCTTGTATCAAATATACTTTTGAAGAATTTTGAGTGCCCAAATACCAGAAATTTCACCTTCTACAGCTCCCAACGCTATAACTATGTTAAAGACATGCATTCTCCTAGGACTAGTTACTACTTACTTAGAAAAAAACTCGTATTGTAAAAATCACAGAAATTCTCATTTCAACCTGATCTATCAAAAAGAAAGTGCTGTGTGATGTGTTTAGCTCATACCAGTCAATGTAATGGTCTCAATCTATGAATGAAGAAAACAAGATTAAAACCATCTGCAGAGCTGTGGTTACCCCCAGAAGAGGCACCTACCTGACTTGTTCTCTGGTAATATTGTACCCAATACAAATATAGCTGTGGCCTGCTGCAGGCTCACACGGCCCCACAGTTTGAATCCTCTGATGTTCTCACCTCTTCAGTGCCCTGGAGAGCCACTGAAGCATGCAGAGTCACAAGGAGCTTTTGCAATTTTGTCTTGAAGGCAAGCATGCAGTACTTGCAGCCTGACCTCTGACTGTGAATCAATGTGAAGCACTGTCTTGCATGAATTCAAGCTGCCTGCTGTCCAGCTATGCCAAGGTAGCAAACTCCTGCTGGGCTGTCTGCACTCTATCTCTCCAGGAGCTGAAGAAAATACAGTGGGCAGGTATATAAAAATACAGGTATAAAAAAAATACAGGTTTTGTCCTCACAAAAATTTAAAAAAATATTTTCTCAACATTTTAAGCAACCTAATATTGGTATTAAACTCTTTTGTACTTAGCCGATTTTTTAGCTGCCTGAAACACTTTACAATTTCAAGCTCTGCTTCAAAAGACTGTCTTTTATAGGGGTTCATATCCTGGTTCGTTTGTATTCCTCCTATTTGATGCTAATGGAAGCTGCAGGAAGGGACAGGTAGGCTTGAACTTTTAAATTTCTTTTAAGGAGAAAGTATGCTCAGCTTTGCAAAGCTTAATAATGCCTGCGCTGTGGCATTACCAACTTTGCTCTGTGCATATCTTGATGTTCCTTGGATAGGTGTCCTCTCAGAGGCATACAGTGAGAAAGAAATTTTTTTGACTGCCTGCAAATCAATAAAAGTCCACCACCATTTCAATTTTGGATCTCTTTTGGGCTCATCTGTTGTCACAGAAGGAGGTGCTCATTTGGCATTGCTTTTAAATGGAATGACATTGGGTCCTTATTAGTGTCAGGCTTTGATGCCTAAGAATAATATAAAAATAGAGCAAACGTTTATTTTATGTATGCTTTATTTAAGAGACCTATGTTTCAGTATTGGGATGTAAGAAAAAAAAAAGGCACCAAAAGAGTGACCACTGTTGCTATGCAATACGTTGTGTCCCTGTGGTAAAATATCCTGCCCACCTGCACTGTCTTTGCTGTTCTGTCTTGTATCCACTCCATGACTGAGACTGATGCCCAGCACAGTGGGGTCATGATGGGATGGTGTGGCTGATATTTCACATTAACTCCACTGTGTTGGGATCTTCATGCACAGGAGAAACAGGCTGCTGTGATGTCAGAACATTACACAGAACTCTTAGAGCTGCTATAGTTAACTTGTTCTGATGACGGTGATGTTTGCAATACAAATACCCTGCTCAGGCACTTTCTGTCTGGAGTGAAACCATGCGGCTGGAATGTGTTGAAAGCTCTTTTGAGCAAGCACTGTCTGTTTTGAATTTGGCTAGTGTAAAGGGAGTAAGCTTAGGACCCGAAGGCATTGCAAACCATGATGAAGAATGAGAAGCTGAAAGCAGTAGTGGAGAAGGACTGTTAACTGGAATATAGAAAATTCTGTGACAACGTGACACATTTGCTTTATGGTATTTTTAGCAAAAATGTTACAGTACAAAAAAGAACTCTCTAAAAGAGCTGACCTAATACAAATGCTATGAGATTATTTCACCATTATTATTTATTTCTTTCTTTTTGTACTTGTAATAATTCAGGTGCTTTCCAGACAGAAAAGCTGCAGGCCCTGCCCCAAGGAGCTTACAATCTAAAGGTGGACAAGGAGAGAGATGTGAAGGAGAGAGGGTCTACAGAGCAGTCAAGAGGCCAAGATGGAAACTAACCAATCAAATATGATTTGAACATATTGTTGCAAAGCTATACAGACTATTTTTCAATTATCACTCATATTTCCCATTTTGGTTTAACTGTATCTGCTGTGACACAAACAGGTATGGAGGAAGGAAGCTTTCAATATGTGAGATCAGAGAGAGTAGAACATGTGTAAAGTAGAGCTGCAAAACTCACCTTAAAGTACAGAGATGAGAGTGGTTTGCCTGGATTTCCAAGACCTAGTTCAGTACTAGAACAATTTAGATCCAGAATGACATGGCTTTAGGTCAGGTCCTACAGATTTACATGGGATAGATTCCATCAGAAATATAAATGTACTCTTTGCATCTGGAAGTTCCTTAATATATCCTAATATGAGCTACAAAATCTATCATGGCAGGGCTGGGGAAGTTAAGAATGAAATAACAATAAACATACCACAATTTTGTGGCATATTTAAGGAGGAAAGAATGGTGTTGAAAGTTAGGGGTGGTAATTCTTATGCCAGTTATAAAATGAAATTTTTAATAATGTAGGACACCAGCCAACAATTAAAAACCCCACAATGTTTAATTTTAAGATTACTGGTTTTAACTAAGACAGCAAGTCACTCATCAGTTATGAAAAATACTATGAAATTTTCTTTATACATTTAGGTATCTATTATAAAACATCCATTCAGGTTCCCCCAAACTGTAAAATTGTCAAAGAAACTCCCTTAAGGCTTGCCTTTTAAAACTTCTCAACAAATTGCCGTATTTATTCAAGTACTCAGGGGAATCATTGTATGCTTGTTTATTCCTGAAGTATCTTTCCCTTAGCAAACGCAGGTGTATTGAGAAGGAAGAAGCTAATAAGCAGCTGAATATTAAAGTGCATAGGTTGTCCACACGAGGAAAAAAAATGGTTGAAGAAGCAGTAGCTGTGGTGGTAAAGAATTCTTGGGGAGTAATCCATCATCAATTTTTAGTAAGCCACAGATATTTCTTTTCCTATAAGAAATATTTCTACATAGAGTCTTCAAAACTTGCAAATGCATTTCTAATAATGGTATCAGGACAGTCATACTCCTCTTGCTGTGTGGGAAAAGTTGTAATTAAATAATCAAAAAGACCTATTTTTTATAATTTACAGGTATTCATATTCCCTCAATAAATAAAAGAATATAATTTATCTTCTGATTCTTTATAGATTTTGACACAAGTTTCTAGCAATTTAAATAAATGATTCTAATAGCTTGACATGAATTATGCTGGCAGGAGCCACATATGATTATTATGGTGCACAGAATCTTTTAAGAACCTACAAAGTTAAATAAAAGCTTACAAGTCTCTTAAGCTACTTTTTATTTGCATAGAAAAATATTTATCATAGGAGTCAACTATCATATGAGAGAAATTCCATTTGTTGTAATTGAAAAAGATAGCTAAAAAGTTTCTGTGGGTTATTGCAACAGTACAAGAATACAAGATGCTTCCATTTATTAAAAAATGTAAAACAAATCGTGAAAGCTAAAGCAGGCTACAAAACAGAAGATCCTCATATTTTCTTTCTCTTGACTACTATGTTACAAGATCATGTGCCACAGTTGATTATTATAAAGTGTAATTCTGCATTAGCTAATATAATTCTTAAAACATCTCCCCCAAAAGCACTATGCAAAATATATATATTTGTAAATGCTTCCTCCTGTAAGCATCACAACCTTGTTATCACATAGTCACCCTGAACAATTGTTTCCTGTTTGCCATCAGAATCAATGCTAATGTCCAATGCCTTGTCCAGCTGATCCTGTGGAGTGGCAGGTTCTGAGTTCTGTAACTCCATTTTCTCTGTTTCTGAAGCACAAATGCTTCCCTCTACCTGGGAATCCAGAGACTCACCGGGATTTTGTGACTCAGCTAACACGCGTTTTTTGCCAGGACTTCGGAAGTTTAATTCACAGTTCATGATTAATTCTCCCTCTTCCAGTTCATCAGTTTTCTCACATTGTTCTTCTGCCTGTTGACGGGAAACTTCTTCAGAAACTGTGTATATTTTGTTTGTACTCTGCTCCACAGAGTTTGTTTTTGATCGTCTGTGAAACAACCCAAAAGTTTTTATGTCTGTTACAAAATTCACACGCTTTTGTTTCTCCTGAGTGGACTCTGACACCATCATTGCTGAGCCATTGCTTACATTATGTCCTTCAGAGGCAATATTGGCTGATCGTGGATGAATCATCGTTGTTATGTCAAAAAGGCTGAAGGGTTTCTTCTTTCCTTTCTTGTTTCCTTCACTCTCACTATTTTCCTCATTTTCTGACAGAGAGGCAGCGTCTTTGCTCATCTTTGCAGTCTGCAAATTAGACAGCTTGCTTCCTTTTAACAAACCCAGGACTTCAAAGCGAAAGCTGGAAATGTCTTGTTTTAACTCCTAAAAATTAGAACGAAAGATGAAATGTTACAACATCAAAGCTAATTTGACTCTCCTTTGAGGGGGGAAAAAAAAAGGAAAAGAAAAAAAAAATGGTTTAGGCTTGGGTGGGGTCAGCAATAAGCTTTATTGTCTGGATGTCAGCATACCAAGGTTGAAGATCTTGCTCTAGGAAGCAAGTTATATGCTACCTGAATAACTGAGTGTAAGAAATATGCTTCACAGTCTTAAAATATCTTAGTAAATTACTAAAACACCTATAAACATAAGAATAAACACATACCTTAAAATTTTCTTCTGTCAATCCTTCCTCAGTTTTGGCATCTCTTATCATTGCTGCAACATACCTTTTAACCAGATTTCTCATAACTTCCTAAAAATATAAAGTATTTTGTTAGCTTTCTTGATATTAGTTAGTAAACCTATATGCACAGGCTCTGCTTGGGTTTTTTCATGTTTTAGGAACCTGACAAAAACTATACAAACCTTAGGTCTGTTTGAAAATTTGTTTTGCTTTTTTATGGAAAGTACTAATGCTCATTGTTCTGAGAAGGGATATTTTGGGTTTGACCCAAGGTATGTCTCCTGCCAATAATATCCAGCCTGGTAGCAAGCAGTTGCTGATGCCTCATGAGGAGAGCAAGTCTGGTGTGGTTGTACAACTTTATTTCCAGCTATTCTCTCTCAAGTCTCCTGTGCTGTGAGATGCAGTGACTCTCTGAACAAAAATGATAGTTCTGGGTTTAACTGGCTGTCACAGGTTTTCTTATGCATTTTGAACTAATGTAAACTTTCAGCATACAGAAATCCTCTGCTAATGAATTCCACAGTATGGAGTAAGATTCCATTTGGGGTTTTATTTTAAACCTTCCGTTTGGTAGCTTTCATTGTTGTCTTCTAAGAATCCTAGAAATTATTTAGGTTGAAAGAGATACCTGGAGGCTGCCTGAGTCATCCTGGGGCCATGCCCAGTCAAGTCATAAATATCTCCATGGGTGAAGATGCTGCAACCTCCCTGAATGACATTTTCCAGTTCTTTACTACCCTCACTGTGAAGATAATTCTCCTTACCTTACAGAATTTCCCTTCCTTCAACTTGTGTCCATTTTGTCTTTTGCTTTGCACCTGGAAGAAAAATCTGGCTCCTTCCCTCTAACCACCCACTCTGTTATTTAAGGGAGCAGTTATATTCCCCCTAACCTACTCCAGGCTGAAACCTGAGCTTGTATGACAGTCCTCTCACCATCTCGGTGCCCCCTTGCTGGATCCCTTCCAGTTTGTTAAAATTTCTCTTGTAGTGTGGGGTCAGACATGACATACTGCTCTAGATACAGCCTCACAAGTGAGGGCTGGTGGAGAATAATCACTTCCCTCAAAAGACTGTCTATACAACCTCACTAATGAGGTGTTGTACACGTGTGGTATTCAGTTTACAGATAAATGGCAAGCAGCTGCTCTGTGCTCACCTTCCTCACGATTTTATAGATCCCTGTTGTACTTCCAACAGCTGCCTCTTCTTCAGGTTGGAGAAGTCCCAGCTTACCTAGTTATTTCCCATATAGGATTTATTAACTACCAAGCCTACAACTCACACCTTGTTTAAATTGCAACCCTTTTAACACAACAAAAATTCAAAATAAAGCTGAAAATTATTCATTATGAAATAATAATCTAAAAAATAAAATAGAAGCTGAAGAAGGAAGGATGAAAAAATTGCTTTCAGAGGATCTAGGCAGAGGGGTTATTAAGGAAGTTGTCTATGGGGGACTAAAGCTGGAGACATGAAGAGTAGGTTCTGATGGAGCATGTCAGTTCGTGGCACATACGGTTCTGATGATTTCTGGCAGGCAGGAATTTGCTTTTTTTAAAGGCAATCCATGCTACAGTGGTCAGAATACTGAATAGTATGCTATTGCTTTAGAAAATATCCTTATGCTCCAAAAAGAAGAAAATTATATTTTCAAACGCTCTTGTTTGAACATCAAAAATACTGAGCTTGTTTGCTGAAGAGGAAATAAGTACAGCTTTTATGTTTTTTTCCTTTTGTTTTCCTTTTCCACTTTCTTATGAAATTCTTCTATTTTTTTTCCTCATTAAGATATTCTGAAGTCAGAGAAAACAATTCCCCAAAAAATAAACAAAGGTCTGTACCTGGTATTGATGATGTCTCCTCAAATTGTCAGCTGCACGTCTCTGAAAAATAGAAAAGAATAAAAAAAAAATTAATCCCTGTTTGTAAGTAAAATACTTAACCACAGAAAACAGCAGGCCTGTGCATTATGTGATATCTACCAAGCTGAGAGAAAAGGTTCAAAATCTGTTGAAAAATGACAGTGTTTGAAAAAAGCCTATCATTTGCGTTATAGAAAGGAGAAGGCTGCTGTGGGGAAGGCAAAGTGGATTTTCTACATTTTTGTCAAAATGCTTTTATTCCTGCATTAGCATGGATGTGGTGGAGCAGCCAGGTCACAGGTTGCAGAGCCCCAGGGTCAGTGATTTGAGATAGAAGTAGAACAATGGATCATGTCACTCACTTGCACAGACTGAAGCATATTTTACTGAATTGAAAAAAGCTTGACTCATGTCAAGTTAGATTTTTCTTGGAGGTGCACAGCAAAAGAACAGGAGTCAATGGACATGAGTTACAGGAAGGGAAATTCTGCATAGAAAATCATCCACACAGTGGAGTTCATAAAGCCATGCTGTTAGCAGGATGCTGGCTATGGCTCCTAATGCCTCATTTAAGATAAAGCTAACCAAAACCTGCACTATAAAACTGTACTAATGAAAAAGTTCCCCCTTAGTTCTCTGTAAAAAACACTTAGTCATAGAGAGGTGTATGGAAGAAAGAAACAGCTTTCAACACAGTTTGGTGTTGATAAGGAGGGAGGGTAAAAGGGACAGTGAATAGGAGCAGCAAAAACAAGTATGGTAGGATGAAAGAATAGCCCAGGTTTTAAGCAGGTGTTGTATTAGATTAAACTGCCATATCTAAGGGCTGCCCAGAAGAAGACGAGAGAAAAAGGCCTGAATTTTTTTTCCCTTTAATTTCTTTTGTCCTCAATTGTATAACGAGTAGAATATCCCCATCCTCTAACATAATCATCCCTAACTGAGGAAAGAAATACAGCTTTAACTTAGATTCTCATATCTGCTGCTGACAAGAAAATAATGTGTCTGACCACTGATTATATTTCTACAAAATAGAGCACTGAACAGCAGCTTCAAACAGGGTGAAAGGACATCCAAGGGACTTGTTAAAATTGACCTCAGTTGCACAGTAAGGCAGGCACAGCAAGTTATTCAATAATTTTTTTTTTGCTTGAAAGAAGTGATGAACCTTTTCTCTGTACTTAGAGTCAGTTTGCACTTCAGGGTTGATTTCTTGTTTGCAATTAATTTGAGGGATGCAGTGGCTTTGTGGTTGGGCTAGCAAAAAATAACAGAGAGAGGGAAAATCATGATTTCCTAATCAGTCTGAACAGTCACTGGGGTAGGGCTTTGTAAATGAGAATGCTTTCTTCAGTATTTTTCCAGATTGTATTTCTCCATCTATGCCCCGTCAAAGAGAAAATGGATATTTCTTGTGTTTAAGGATGGAAGGATGGGCAGGCTTGCCCATCACCAGGGCCGGAGGGGACAGTGCAGTCGTGAGAAGGCTCACACCCTCACAACACCCGAATTTAGCTGATTTTTATAACAAATCTCAGCTTTCTTGCAGTTGACCACACGGTGGAGATGTTTCATTCTGCTGAGAGAGCACCAAGGGAGTCCGTGGCTAAGAAAGCTCTCAACAACAGCTCTGACTCACAGGTGAAGGGAAAAACACTTTAGGGTGTAATTGAAACACACTTCAGGTAAAGTGAATAACATCTAAGTAAAAGAAATGCTGAATCTTGTCTTGCACAATACTTCCTGCAGCTGCTGTCTGCTCTGCTTTATTTTACAGCAAAATGTGAAATAAAAGCATAGGTTTAATTCTGTACCTGTAAAAAGAACTACCTAGATAACATTTATCCCTTTTTTTGCAACCAATTCAGAAACTTCCAGAAACAGAGGCTGTGACTTGTCCACTTAATGTAATGCCAACAAGTCCAATTTGGGATAACTATGTGAAAAGATTTGTGTGATAATGTGTAAGAACAGTTCTACTGCATTTAATTGTTTTTAATCCATACTACCAAGAAGCTGAAAGAAAATTAATTTAATTGTATGTTTTCATGCACAGCTACATACCTACTCCACTTGGAATTACACATAACCTATCAAATTTATTATCACCAAACTGTTCTCTCTCTCCCGTTTAAATGTTTAGGTTCCATCTCCAGTTCCTAATTATCTTTTGCTTCCTTTTGAAACCAGAATGAATCTTTGCCTAAACACATCTGAAAACCAGGCTATTCACTAGAAATAAAATGTCATTAACATTCATATTGCCTTTATTTAGTTCTTAGCTGGCCTGCTTTTCTCTGCTTGGCTATAGTCTAATTTATGGTTCAAAATTTGTTTCAAGTAACCATTGTTCTATGTGCATGAAGAAGTCGAAAATTATGGCTGGCAAAGGGATGAAAGTTTAATTTGACTAAAAATAGCAACAGGGTGGGAAACACAGTTATGCATGTCGAATGCAATAATGAAATTGAGGGAGATGCTGTTGTCACTTTCCAAAAGGGGGCACTAATATCCTTTAGGAAGCTTTAATAGTAGATCCACTAGTAGTGATAATTATTTTGGTTTTCCTGTTTATGCCATTCCTAGCAATTTGCACTGTTTGGAAAAAGACAACTCTTTAACAGTCAAAAATTTAATAATATTGTATTACTTATTATGATGTGTTTTATTAAAATGATATATTTTATAGTGAAGGGATATAAATCCAATGTCTGCATTTGACTTTAAACTGCTTAGTGATAAAGGTCCAGAAAACAGAATTATTGTCTTAAGTTGTAGGATATATTCCTCATGTTGAATAGAAGCATCACCTTTAAAGGATTAGAACTTAGGTGTGTTGACAGGGAGGCTTCTCCATGAAATGGTTCTTGGCTATACAAGGAACACTCCAGATTATTGAAAGGCATTACTTCTTCGTTCAACTTTCAATAGCATACATTACAGAGAGAATACAAAATGCTTATATTGACTTAGAAATTGCATCATTTTCCACTGGGTGAAAAAAGAATAAGAGAAGGAAAAATGAGATTTTCTGTGGTAAATGATAATAAAATCATGTAGGTTGCTCGGAAAATGGCATAAAAATCTGGATAGCTAGAAAAGAGAAACCTGTTTATCTAAACATGAGATGCAAAAAATATAAATTACTGAAGCAATCCCTGGCAATCCTTTCCATTTTCAATTCTGAAATACTTAAAATTATAGGTAAAACACTTTTTAGTGACTGATCAGACATAAAGTGGAATGTAATTTGAAGAAAACAGTACCATTTGTTCTGTTTGGACTAGGATTTCTTTTCCCGTATTTTTTTTTTTTTATTTCTGAATAAGCAATTGATTTCAGATGACCAACAAGATTAGCTTTGACAAGCCATAAGCCTTGTGTAGTCAGGAAAACCTCAGTTTAAATAATAGAATTATATTGCTAATCTGGCTTTTGCAAAGGTGATCTAACAAAATAAATAGAACTGATACAGATATAGATGATACAGATGTATGTAAAGAGCAGCACACACATTTCAGAATTTTAAGTGCAGGAGACAACTGATAACAGCTGAAGAAAATACTGCATACCTGGGATATGTCAAAATGACAGAATATAAAAATGTGCTGAACTCTGAATGGTAGAAGAGTTCTGTCTGATTCATAGCAGAGCTGAAATATTAGTAAATCACATGTACCATCCTAGCCTTCCTTCAGCAGAAGCTGTGGCTAGAGAAGCTGCCATCAGCATGGCTGGGCATTGTGTTGCTTTGGAGAAAAAGTCTCTTCCCAGAAAAAAACCCCTGTGACTTCACCACCCACTGCTTCAGCTGTCCCACTACAACAAAGGACAGAAGAATCACAGAAATGACATCCAAGGAGAAGCACATTAATTGGCTTTTTTTCAGAGGCACCTCATATCATTACAGACCGTGTTCTTGCCCATGATAGTTTTGTTATAAACAGCAAGGCAGATGAACCTCCCAAGCAGCCATGTCAGACTTTTTTTACTGGCATTTCTCTTCTTCCTATGGGCCAGATAAATCATTTCACGAGAATGTGTGCTGTAAACTATCCTGACCCTGAACCCTTTCTTTATACATTTTGCCTGCATGTAATGAACTTTCAAGTGTACACATATATAAATTTTACAGTGGATTCTTAACACATTAGATTTGATCCTTGACTCAGTCCTAGTTCATGTTTCCTGCATTTCTGTTACTGAGGACTTTTTGCAGAGATCATGCATAATCCCTTGCCAGCTCCTTTCAGTCTATCATCTATTTTATATCCTCTAGCACTGACTCACTCTTTGGATGCACACTATTGCTTTTTCTACTGGAAAACACCATAGTACGTCACTGCTGATTAGTGCTTCTTAATAGGAAAGTTAACATTTAGAGATTTCAGAACAGAATGTTTTAAAATCTGAGTTCTGCCTTACAGACAATGTGGCATCCATCCATCCACATAGCCAATATCAGAAAATCATGCTATAGAATCATATAGAATCATGCTATAGAAATTTTTTTTTTATCTCCCAGTTCTAGTTGTGGGGAAGGAAACAGAGTTTATAATGCAGGACTCAGTGAAAAGGAGTAGATCCCAACAAAGCTTATCTTGTAGCTCAGAGGCCAAAGTTATTACAGGGGAGATACAAGTGAAGTGATACAAGGTTGAAAGGATACAGAGGTTCTAAATTTAATTTGTGATGTAGCTTGTGAGAACTTTTGAAAAAGTTCTAGGAAATCAAGGCTGAGCTGTGGGTGATGGGAAGTTTGTCAATACCAGAAAGAAGTCCACTCCCTCAGGATAAACTATGACATCACCATGGTGTGCCCATTTGTTGAGTGATGATTTAACCTCTTGGAGAATGTCCAGTTAACAGCACCTATGTGGTGGTTTGCATCCATCCAATGTGGAAATCAGAGCACAGAGTGCATGTGCACAACTTACTCCATTTAGAAGTGTGGGTGAATAACTGGATCTGGAAATTGCAAAATGTTCCAAATTCACATAACTCTAATGGGGCTTGTGTTCTGCTGAGGAATTAGCTGAAGAACTCTGTAGTTTTATGAGATGCCCATGTGATGGACTGAATCCGCCTGGTCAGCCACAGCCACTCACTTTTTTCAGGCAGCTGGAAATGTGTTTGCCATGGTAGCTCTGCTGGTGAGCTCTCTGCTTCAGAGGGATTTCAGCTCTAATTCCAACTAAGAATCTATTCTGCAGGGGAAACCAGTGATAGATATGGCCCTACTGTCCCATTCGCTGTAGGGATTCCACTTTCAAATAATTTAAAAAACATTACAGAAATCAACTAAAAATGTCCCACATCTCCCCGTCACTGATGTCCTCACTCCCAAACAGTTCAGTAATCAGTGGTTCACATTCAAATCATAAGGAAGTTAGGTTCAGCCCCCTCTCTTCTGTTCTCCCAAGGGAGCACCTTAACCCCCGCAGTATCTTAAAGATACTGAGAAATTTCTGTTGTCATAGCTTTTATGCTTGGAGTAAGTAATTAAATGTCCACTGGAGAACAGAAGTAAATCTGGGTCTCCCCAGCCCAAGATATTTGCTTTAAATGGCATCTGCTCCTTTCTTCAAACAGAAATTTCATCCTGAAGCTGAAAAGTCTTTCCCAACAAAAGCTTATTTGAAATTGAAATATACTAATTAAAATATTTAGTGTTTAGAGACGTTGGGGGATTTTAACTTAAAAAGAAAATTCTATTTGGAAAAATTCTCAAGCAGCTTGGTGCATAGACTCCCTACCCTCTGACCCTTTGCTGCACCAGTTTTCCCAAATTTAAGATGTGGGTTTCTTAAAGGTGGTATTTATGTACCCCAGCAGGAGGTAGGTGCAGGAAGTAGAGATGATCTTTCTGAATCCCCTTTCTCATCATACCATTCAGCATAGGGCTGGGAGCCCCCCGTATTTTTCTTTATAATTCCATTTATCCAAGAATGAGTTTACTCCTAAATCTGCAGTTTGAGAAGATAAGAAAAAGGAAAAAATATTTCCTTATCACAGATGGGAGGTCTGACAGGAAATATTGTCCTGAAGATTCAGCTGGGATGTATAAGGGTATTCTGCATCTGTCTCAGTCAAACAGGAATATTGTGTTAATCAGCCCTCTGCTATATACTGGCATCATACCATTAATTTTAATATCATTCTCTCAGTTTACACCAGCTAATCATCCCTACCAAATGTTTAACAAATGCCTAGAAGCATGGCCCACTCTCCCACATACACAATACATCACTCTCTCTCGACTTTTTCTTTCCAACAACATCTCATAGTTTCTCCTTCTGTTCGTCTCTGCATTTACTTTTTTCACTTCCTATGTTACACAGAGATGTTTTACTCTTAAAATTATTCACCATTCATGCTAGTTCACGTTCCTTTTAAAATTTCTATATGAATCACTGTTAGTCTTTCTTAACTTAATGTTTTTTTTTCAGTGTTTGTTTCTTTTAGTCCATTACTGGTTTGTTTCAATGTCACCCTCATGTTTATTAGTGTCTTTTCCTGGCTGTTTTTTATCAATATGTAAAAATATGACAGCTGTATGAAATACTTTTGCTTTCATAATTTAGATATTGGCCAACAATATCAGTATATTGTAATAAGTCTGATTTGAAGCTTTCTACAAAGAGGATAAAATCTATTTATTAGCATAGTAATTGTGAATTAGCTTTCTATACCCCTTTTCCTCTTTACCATATATCTGTACTTGCATATGAAATAATTCCTCCAAGTATATTTAGAGATTAAACTGCATTCCAGGATATGACAGCAGAATAGGTAGGAAAAACTTATTACTCACTTATCAAGAAATGGGGAAGAAATACAAAGAAAAGGTTGATGTAGCAATTGTCCATCAGAGAATTGTATCAAACCCCCTGACTTCTTTAAAATGGATGGAAGTTTTATTACAAGAATCAATAGCACAAGGACTATACCCCTTTCTTTTCCCCCTTACTCACATTTGACTTTTCTACTCTCTCTTAATGCTTGGCTGTCTGAGTTCCTAACAGACTTGAAACATTTCTATTCATCAAATCGTTATGGTATAGAGAAAATGCCATTATCCACGTCTTATCCCAAAAGGTCTTCTTCACACTAGAGCTGACTAAATTCACTCTAATTACTGAGGTACTGACTCACTCATGGGAAATGAAGAAAACGTCGAGAGAATTAGTTGTTGGTAGATTAGGATGTTGCCTGAACTTTTACACTGACAGTATAGAAAAACTGTGCCACTGACTGAGGTATTTCAAGCAGATGAAGTTAGGAGGGAAAAGTTCAAATCTGCTTTACCCACTGCAGCTACCAGAGAAAGTAAGTGGTTGAGATATTATACAGGCATCTGCTGAATCCAGGTGCAGGACTATTCTTGGTCATCTTGTATCTTTTCCCCTCTTTTTTTTTCCCCTAGAAATGTCACTGCTAATCAGCTATATCAGAATATGGTATGATTTCAGACTGTGATTCTGAAATAGCTCTACCTTTAAATTCAAGAAAACAAGTAAATGCTGTTACTTTTCAAAATGTTTTTTTTAATGGGAACAGCTTTTGGTAAGAATGTTTTTATGGTAAACTCATTTCATTACATGTAGAGAGACAGAGACACAGAGAATATCCCATGATGAATACTTCATACATGAGTCTGTGGTTCATGGTATTCAAATATACCTGAACTGTGACACTTGAACTAGGGATTAGCAACCAACAAGTCTGACACTGGCAGACAAGTATACACATTTGATCTCCTGTATTTTTTATTGCTCTTAATCTTTCTTGCACAATCTATAGATGAAGCACAGTAATGGTTCATTCTGTCATTTTATGGGGATATCATGATACTTTCTCTTCAAATACATTGATATTAATGCAAAAAGTAAACATTCAGTGCTATAATTATTCTCTAACTCATATGTACATTATTTGACAGTTCAGACATTCTATAAGGCTGAGAAAATGTCATCTGTATAGCAAAGAGGAGGACTACGGGCAGAGTAAACCACAAAACTTACCCCTATTGTTCCAAAACTTTCAGGCTTTCTTCTAATTTTTTTCTTGCAAAGATGTCTCCATAACCATTTGATCAGATACCACAAAGATTTTGGGCTTGGTATGACATTAAAAGGAGTGGGCAGAGTTCCTCCTTCTTCAAAATAACTCATCCAGAGTTTTGTTCGAGCAAACTTCCACTCAATGTCTGCATGATCCTGCACACAAGAAGCACATTATCAGCACAGATGTTGCTGTAATTAAGGAGGTGAAATAAACCTTTACAAAAATCTGAAGAAACCAAAGTTAGAACAATCTTGAAATACTAACGAATTGTCTTGTTAAAATACTGCCATCTTTTGACAGGTCTTTAACACAAAGCAAGGCTAAGCTGCTTTACCTCAGTAGGATGTTCAATATGTAAAATATATCTCTACTTATAAGCACTTCTTTCATTGTTACAAGCTGTTCAATTATTGAATGCCTCTCAAAAACAGAAAAGGTAATTACAAGCAGAGAAATTCTACATTTCTAGAAGAAACATTTTGTTATAACAGCAGCTCACAATTATTCCACATAGATCAGTCTAATTATGCTGCTCTGTGGCACCTTCAACAACTCAGTAAGACTCATGCATTTACTTAGAAATTAACAGTCCCCAAAATTCACAAATAAGTTATCCAACAAATTATGAGCCTATTAAAAAAATTGAGTCAAGTATCTTTTTTTTCCCCTACTACTTTTGAATTCTATATTTGGGATAAGTTGTGGGGTGGGTTTTTTTATGTTTATTTGAAATTTTATTCCTTTTGGAACCTATATAGTGTTGTATAATTCTGAAAATTTTGGGAAAACGAAAGCTAAAGGTCATGGAAAGCTATCTAAATCCTGATAGCAGATGAATAAGAAGTTTAAATCACTAATGTTACATTTTGATAGCCAAGAACTTTGGCTACAGGTTTAGCTCTGGCCATACAGTAAGAAGAGCAACAATTTAGAAGTTGTAGCAGGAAAAGTACACTACTTACAGCCCAAGTTTTGGTGAGTGGTACTATGTTGTGATATGGTTCACTAGACTCTGACAACTAGAGTTATACAAACACAGGTGGTCAGTTTTTCTTTTGTGGAAACACTTGTAATTTCCAGATTGGAAAAAAGGGCACATTTTAAAATCTTAAGACTGTAAAGCTTTCTTTTGTTTTCTTTCTGCATGATCATTCTTGAATTATCATATGATGAATCACTGTTTATTTTTCTTAGTCTCCTTAATAGACAGTTTAGAAATAAAACTACACCAATAGCCCTGGTAAGGGTAAAGACAGTTTTCATTAAAGGCAGAAACAGGACACTGTTGAATGAGAAGACATGACCTTTTGTTTGAATAGCTAGTGTCCTTGGAATATGGGCACCCAATTTCTGGTAAATGTATTTCCATGTCAAATTAAAAAAAAAAATGTAGCCTTTCAAATGCTACTAAATATAATGTATTAAAAATGAAGCAGTGATAGAACAATCCTGGACTGTCTTTTTCTAAGAAAAGGTCCTACACAGTGCAGCTTGGGCAGGGCTGTAGCCCATATCACTTGCCAGAAGGCTCATGACACCCTTCTCAACCCATGAGCTGGCTTCTTCATCATGGTCACCTCTTCCCCATTTGGTGTTGAGGGGAAATTTCCTTCTACCCAGTCCAGCTTGGGTCTGGTTTCTTTGTCCTTCCAGAACAGTGCAAAAGAATAGGAGTAAATTGCAATATTTGTCCCAATGTTCTATCTGTGAAATGTTTTACTGCCAGAAAAACTGAATGTAGGAACAGAGAGAGGGTATATATTATAAATTATCTAAAAACAAGGAACAACTTACAGCAATGAGTTGGTAAGAGTTATTCATCATGGCTATTAGCATGTTGAGCAGAACAACCAGAGATATTACATTATAGGTACCAAACATGGTGGCCCCAACAAATTCAGTGAATTCATGCCTCGCATTCACGTTGGTCACATAGAGATTGATGAGTCCAAATATAGACCAGAATAATGACTGCAGCGTTTCAAATAACCTGAAAAACAAACCCCAGAAGGAATAGCTGTATAATAGCAACACATTTAGTTTTCAGATTGTTCAGTTTCTCCCAAAATGCACAAAAGTTCTTGACTTGAGATGAATGACACTTATCACAATATAGCCAACATAGAGGGAATATCTTTCTAGTGAAACAATGGCCTAGTGTTTAAAATCTGAGCCTCTAGATATACAATACAGAATCTATAAATAAGCCTGCAAGCAAAAGGCTGATTTTGTTCCATCTTCAGAGATATAAATAAAGTTTCAGATGTGTCATGTTGGACACCTTCTTTTGAAGAATTTTGACCCTTTGCCTTAACTGTAAGGGGTAGAATAAGGATACGAAAGTAACTAAGTGATTGTGTCTCGGCAGGATGTTGAAAGAAGTATGATATCCAAATATGCAATTCTGATTTGTTGAGAGCCACTGAGATAAAGGAGTTAAATAATTAGAAAGACATTATTATCATTAGCATACGTATTGTTTTATAAAGAAGGGAGACATAAAAAAGATAAGCATGCTGCTTTCAAAAGAAACTTATGTTTTTATACCTAAAGCATATGATATTCCCTTAGAGAAGTTTGTACAACAGATAGGAAGCTATTAATGATGAACTGTAAAAAATAATCCTCTGCAGCTAGATAGATTGAAAAATTTTCCCTTTTTTCTGTGTTCAGCTACACCAGTGTCATAAGAATGGTCCTGGTTAGACTCTGCCCCTTGAAAGTATGGAGCACATAAAGCATCACAGTTTGCCATGGCACCACCTTGTAACACTAGTACCAGAACTCCCCACTATGTCCCAGATGAATATTGCTTCCCTCAATGCTGAGCTCTGAAAAATGTCTGTGTGCTTTTTTGTTCAGATCACATACAGTTTAGACCTGCATAGGTGTTATTAATATAAAATATAAATATGGGATGCCTGAAAAAAGTTACTTGATTAAGATGATATAAAGGCTGCTATTTTTATAAAATTATTTCCTCTAAGAAGGAAGCCATTGGTAATAAATATATTTTTTAAAAAGCCTAGATACAGAGAAGTTAATAGGGAACAGACATTTATAGCAGTAGTTTCATCCAGGTTGGAAGGTGAAAGACTTTACTTTTCATTTGGTAGTGTTTTGGTACTACAGATACACTAAAAATTATAATGAAGTATAATTGATTTTAAAGTGAAAGAAAAAGAAACCGTTTATAACAGAAATTAAAAATTTGGTTGTGCTGAGTAGAGTCAGTAGAATTTTGGACTGCATGGTTTTTTACAGCCTATTATATTTGCAAAGATTCTTCATTGATTTGTGAATTGAATTTAATTGAATTCTGAATTGTACAGACTTCATTGTAGTATGAGGCGAACATTATTAGAGTGATGAAACGTTAATAGTTTTTTATTATTAGGGTAATATTAGATATGTTTGTCAGGACACCACTGTATTACCAACAGAAAATGGAGGTTCTTTTCTGTAAACAGCATCTAAGTGATTAAAATATCTGGGGAGAGGAGGAGGATAGAAATAAATAGCTACTTACGTTGAAAATGCATTATTCTGCTTTTCACATCGTATTCCTTTGCAGTTGCCAGGTTCATTTGTCTCATAGTAGAAGTACAGCTGGTTCAATCCATTTGCAAAAGCGAGCAGCACAAGGCAGTATATGAAAAGAAACTTCAAAATGTCCAGCAACATTCTTCCTAGAGATATCTGCAGAGGTCCCAGGTGAGAATTTGCAGTGAATAATGAGATCAGGCGCAGGGAGCTAAAGATGTTTGCAATTGCAAACAGGGCCTCAGCCACCAGGGTTGGATGCCACATGTCCCAGCTGTCCCGTGGAACTAACCCACTATACTGAAAACAAGCAGAAGGGGAAAAAATTACTCCTCTATTTCAATGCATAAACAAGCATGTCACTTTCTTTCTAAGCTGCTCAATTAATTTGCAGATATCACAATAAATTTTCATGATAGCAAAAATTTTCACAGTTTAAAAATTCTGACACTGCAAAAGGAACAGTTTGGAGCACCTTGCTTTTTGGAGTGATAGAAATTTCCAGCTGTACAGGCAGGTAAGTTATTTCTTTGAAGAAAAGTGCAGGGCTGACAGTGATGGATAGAAATCCACAAAAACTCTGGCAAGTAGGAAGAAAACATTAAATCACCAAGTAAGTATATCACTTAATCACTAATACTAGCCCAATGATGAAAAAGATGTTTATTAATGAACCATGGCAAACTGCTTATGTGTCTCATTATCAGAGTCTGACCCCTGAAATTGTGACTTCTGTTCCAGCTCTACCAAAAAAATTATTGAAGATGAAAGATACTTGAACTGAGGCTTAACTACTGTGGCAAACTCATTATTATTTATTTGGTCTCATTAATCTGTTTTATAGAACATATCAGAGGAGAGAATCATTGCTAGGAAGCCCTCTAAAAAGGGGATAATATAATAGGAAGCAGATTTCAAAGTGGGACTATGGTGTTATCTGTATTCACCTACTCTAGACCACACAGAAGCACCTTCAGAGCTGCTGAGCATGCCCTGAACAGAAAGGAAAGGGACTCCATTTGTCACTGGGGCCAGATGACACAACATAAACAGGCACCACAGCATTTCACCACGTCGCCCTACAAAGAAGGTGATCACTCTCAGAGTGGTTCAGGAACACCTGAGTAACTTGAACACATATTAAGTCTGTAGGACCTGATCAGATGCATCCCAGAATCCTAAAGAAAATGGCTGATGTAGTTCCAAAGTCACACTCCTTCATATTTGAAAAGTCCTCTCAGTCAGGTGAAGTGCCCAGTGACTGGAAAAAGGGAAGCATTGCACCCATTTTTAAAAAGGGGAGAAATTAACACCTTGGGAACAACGAACCTGTCAGCCTCCTCTCTATGCCTGGGAAGGACATGGAACAGATCCTCCTAGAAGCTGTGCCAAGGCACGTGGAGGACAGGGAGGTGATTTGAAGCACTAGCACGATTTCACCAAGGGAAAGTCCTTCCTGACCAACCAAGTGGCCTTCTAGGATGGAGTGACTGCATCAGTGGATAAGGGAAGGACTGCAGGTGTCATCTGGGCTTTTCACATGGTCCCTTGCAACATCCTTCTCTCTAAAAGGTGAGAGATGGATTTGATGGGTGGATTGTTCAGTGGATAAAGAATTGGCTGGATGACCAACAGCTTGAAGTCCAAATGGACATCAATGACAAGTAGTATCCCTCAGGGATCTGTACAGAGACTGAGACTGTCTAACATCTTCATTAATGACACAGACAGAGGGATTGAGTGCACACTCAGCATGTTTACAGATGACACAGAGCTGAGTGGCGTGGCTGACATGTCTGAAGGACAGGATGCCATCCAGAGGGATCAAGACAAGCTCAAGAAGTGGCCCCTTGGGAACACCATAGGTTCAACAAGACCAAGTGCAAGACACTGCACCTGAGTTAGGGTGGCTCCCAGTATCAAGAGAGTCAGAGGAATGAAGGGATTGTGAGGAGATGGAGTTGAGGTACTGGTAGATACATGCTCACAGCCCAGAAAGCCAACCATATCCTGGGCTATAGAAGAAGTGTGGCTAGAAGGTCAAGGAAAGGGTTTCTGTCCCTCTATTCCACTCTGGGGAAACACCTCCTGGAGTGCTCTATCCTGCTCCAGCATCCTCAGTACAGGAAATACATGGGCTGTTGGAGCTGGTGTACATTGAAAAGGTCACAAAGCTGGAGCACCTCTCTTCTGAGGAAAGACTGAGAGGGTTGGGGCTGTTCAGTGTGGAGAAAAGGTGACTTTGGGGAGCTCTTGTGGCCTTCTAGTACCTGAAAGGGCCTCATAGCAAAGATGGAGATAGACTTTTTACTAGGGCCTGTAGCAATAGCAATGAGCTAATGGTTTTAAACTGCAAAAGGGTAGATTTGGACTAGATATAAGAAAGAAATTTTTTATGATAAGAGTGGTGAAACACTGGAACAGGTTGTCCATAGAGGTGGTAGATAACCCATTTGGGAGACATTCAAGGTCAGGCTGGATGAGTTTCTGAGTAGCCTGATCTGGTTGAAGATGTCTCTGCTTACTGCAGAGGCACTGGACTACATGACATTTAAAGGTCCTTCCAAACCCATACCACCCTATGATTCTGTGATTCTGCAATCCAAACCGTGAAAGGGAACTGGGCATTGTTTTGGATGCTAACAGTTGGCAGGGTGTCTCTAACTAACTGCTAGTGCATGTGGAACTTTCCCAGTGCCTGACAGCAATCACTGGCACAATGCCATTTACTCATATACAAGCAGCCATAGCAGCTGACAGGTTTGTGGATTTGGGGATGAGAACTGCCAAACTGAAAAACAGCCCATTAAAGAATTAAGAATTACTCATTTCGTTCACCTGTGATATTTGTTCTCTACAGAGAAGTGAATTAAATCTAGACCTGCTGGAATCATAGATCAGTACTCTCTTCATTAGACTATCCTCTCCTTAATGATTCTGCTCATCTGCCCCATACACTATGGCTCTTTAATATGGTTCTGATTGATTCAAGATCAGTGATGAAAAATAGGCAGTAGAAAACAGAATTTAGTTACCAGAGACAACACCTATGAGATAAAACAAGAAGAAAAAGCAGAAGAAAGTATTTTCAGTGTTTTTGAGAAGAGAGAGCTGAAAACTCCTCAGCATGATTCCTATAATGTCTTTCTTTGAATAATATTTTACAGCACATTACTGCAAATTCTCATGGCACTTTACAACCCTCACAGCTGAAAACTTGCACCTATTAAATAGTGAGGAATAATTGGCCGTACAAGCAAAGATTGGCACTGAGCAGTGCAGTAGATACTCAGAGTAGGCAAAAGTACACAAGGTGTTTTGGGGTAATAAAATAAAATACATTCATGGAGAAATGTAAAGAACATATATGAAATTGGGAAGAGACAGAGTTTTTGGTAGAAAATCAAAAGCATCAAACTGCAGGCATATTTGAGGTGAGGGCAAGTAGTAGCAGATTCCAGAGAAGTTACAGATATGGGGGAGTTGAGAGAAATTTAAGGAAATACCCTTCTGAGAAATAAATGGAAATACAGGACAATGAATAAGTATAGCACATGATATACCAAGACAACAAGAATCAAGTTTAACAAGTTAGGTGTGGACAGTCATATCTGCACTCTGCCACCTGCTTTTACAGTCAGCAAAGAAAAATGAGAACTTGTAGAGTAGTGGGAAAGAAAATATCCCACATAGCTGAGTTGCTATTTAACTTTTCATTTTCTCCTGACTGATGTGTGGGGAAGGGGATAGACTGTCTTACAGCTGTAGTCTGGCAAGATGTATCCAATGTCACATTTTCTAGAAGAAATGATGTTAAGCAGAAAGATGAGGAAAAAAGGACTTTGCCTATGATATCCTGGATAAAGACACAAAACTAATTTGTTCAAACATTCAGAAAATATTAAATTGCCTTTTATTTGTAAAAGGGAAATTAAAGGCACAGTTGTGATATTTTAGCATAACTGACTCTTCCTTTTTTGGGCCCAAATGCTTCCTGCATGTTTGGATAGAATTCAAGAGGTGTCACGGACATAAGCAGAGAGTGATGGCTGTTATTTTAGTGTTGAAGAAACAATTTAAGAGACTGGAAATACTTGCCAGAAAAAAGTGAGAAAGGTGAAGGCCTAAGAGATAAGTTTGGAAATTGTCTGTGAAATATACTAACTGCAAGAAGACAGCAAATGATCTGAAGAATAAAATGGGTATAAGAGGTCTCTAACAACAAACCCCTATTGACTCCACTAACTTGAGCAGAGGATGCCGAAAAGAAATCTAGAAATATTAAAGAAAGAGAATAAAGCAGCTTTAATTTGGAAAGAAAAATACAGAATACTACTGAAAAGACTAGGCATCCTAAAACCAGGAACAGTGAAAAAGAATTTAAAAATGTCTCTTAGAGCCATACCACGGAGAATTAAAGTATTTTTTCTCTCTTGTTTGTTGAAGTCCTTTTGTTCTACACAGGATAAATAAATTAATATTGCTCAACAGAGTGGAAAACGGTAAGTAAAAACATAGCAACACTGAGTTTGCAGTAAATCATGATGTTGATACTCTGCAGTCCTCTATTTGGTGACTCTGACGAATTTCTGCCCCCTCCTTGAAATGCAAACACAAACTTTTGACATGTAACAAAGCCAACCACTGCTTAATTTGATTAAATAACACCTATTATTGGGTCGGTGGTTGAAGAAAATTTACATGGCACATCAATGGAAAATGAAGAAGAGCAGAAAACCGATTGAGCAGCATATAAACAGTAGTTTTAGGATAAATGTATGATGCTTTTGTGATGTCAGCCAGGGAATGCAAGATAATAATTCTTGATCCTTACTCAAAGGAATTAAAATGCAAATTCAATATCTGAACCATTTGCGAGAAAAAAAAATCTGAGCAATCACTGTTTTCCCATTAAAACAAAAGACATGAAGTCTCCATCTTTTGGAAGCACCACGAGAGATCAAACAGACATGTAGATCAGGCTACCTGGATCTTTAATGGGCTGTTGGACCTCAGTCTAAGGTGACCCCCTTGTTTCTGGTCACAAAGAGACAAGCTGAATAATATCCATTTCAGGAAGAGTACTTTAAATCCTTTCCTGAAAAGTCACCTGAAAATGTGAACTCTTCCTATTTTAAAATGTATGTACCAATCTTTGCATTCATTATGTGGAATTTCAAAGCAGCAGTAGGAAGGGGGCAGAGGGATGGCCTAGCAGAGAGCTTTAAAATGGTAATTACACTGAGGAATTGAGTCCATAATTTCTCAGGGGTGGAGAGGTGTTAATTCTCCTATGTAAATGGTCATTTAGTCTGTGAATCTAGTAAATATCAGTCAAAACCATTTTACACAGCAAACATGTAAGAAGATGCTAGCTTCTGCAGAATTGGTGGCAGGAGAGATATACAATCTTATTTACTACTGAACAAAGTATACCTGACACAGTGATCATTAAGCCAGTAAATATTCAGATAAATAATTTACTCTAGCTACTTTTCAGAGTTCTTGCCCCAAATAAGAATTTGTTTCCCTACTAGATCTTCATGTCAGTGGCTGAGGCACGTTATCAGCAATGCGGAATTGTATGTGATTTCTAGCAGAATTGGAAATAAGTAGCACGAGGTCAAATGCTCAGGTTTAACAAGTATTTAAGATAAAGCAAGCAGATTCTACACACATGTTGGCACTGAACTTAACTTTACACATCAGAACAAAATAAATTATATTCAAAAAACATAAAAAGAACAATTTTTTTCTTAACACACAGTGATTTTTACCTAAAATCCTCCATGAAAACAAATGTTAATAAATGCTTAAAATCTGTTATCTTGTACTTTAAAAAAATTGTGACTATACATTATGATATTTTTATGGAGGAGAGAGCATTTTCAGTAGATATACTGGATAATTTAGGAAGACCTAACATGTTGATACAGAGATAAAAAGCCATAGGCCATTGAAAATTGTAAGATGCCCTTGTTTTATTTGAATACTGGCAATGAAACCAGTAACTGAGTTATTTTAGCAATTCTCTCATCCTGAAATTTACGCTTTGGTGAATTTTACACTATGCCATCAGCTACTCTAGATAATATCCATCTACTTAACTACTGCATCAGTCAGAGAGCCTTAAATGGTAATGAACACTATATTTTACTCTGAGAATATTTATCACATTGAAGTTTATTCAAGGGAGTTGGTTAAAATGTTTTCTTAGGTGGTTGGATCTGTAGATGATAGAATAAATCTAAGAATCGACCCTACATATTTGGTTCAATAAAGACAGGACAGCTGTAACTTAGAAAAACCTAACTCACAATGCTTAGGAAAGGAAAATTAAAACTTTACATTAAAACATACTGGTTACATTTGGCTTCCTCTCAATCTCATCTGGCATTGTGGCAAGGAACACTGTTGAAGGCATTTGAAGGTATGTGGCAGGGTATTAAATCACACTTCTTTTCCTCTGTCCATTACTTCATCATGTGTTTCAGTTGACTAGCACAGCTTTTTTAAACACTGTATTCATTATGATTAAAATGTAAGCACTAATTTGAAGAGTAATGGATGCACATTATCCCAGATACTGTCACCTTGGAATCTGATTACTGTAACTAGAAGGCATTCGGGAGATGAAAGGATTTTAATGTCTTCTAATTAATATTATTCTGAAGTGAATAATTGGCCATCTCCAATGCTTTGGAAACATCTATTTCAAATGAACTCTGTGCTTTGTTACAAGGGACGGTGAAATGACTACTTGTTTTCTAGTCACTTTAGGATAAGGTATCTTCATGCGTAAAAAGGCATTTCATTAGCTTTGAAATGACAATTCAGCACTCTTTGGAGCACCTTCCTCTTTCAGGCTCCAAGTTTCTTTGAGTGAGAAGATTTCCAAAGGTTTGAAGACAGAGACCCAGCATGCTAGAAACCTTTTGTCATAGAAGGCTGATGTGTCAACACATCCCAAGGCTTTGTTCATCCCTGGTTCTGACTGGCTGACACATGGACTCATGGACACAAAATGATATAAATTAGAGTTCCTAGGTTCCTCTAAGCCTGTGGCAGGGCTGCAGCAAGAGCAGCTGCTGTTTGGGGAGAGGAAGTCATAACTGGCTTCTTGACAGCTCTCTCCTTGTCCCAGACAGAAGTACCTTGGCAGAGGAGGGTCTCTCCTTCCATGCATACAGAATAGTACTATTGCAACTATATATTATCACTGGCAGCAGGGAACTTGAAAAACCTGAAGTACAATGCTGATCCCAGTGGCCAGTAAAGATGGGCTTATCTTTACTTGGATGAGACAAGAACTCTAAGACAAATGCTAAAAAATGCTTTCAATTTGTTTCATATGTGGTTTCCTTGCACTTGAGACCATTTTTTGCTCAAAATATCTAATTTTATGAGGAATTTCTATCACATTATGTGCTCATGTGGAATACATACAAAAAATTCACACATGTTCTATGCCTTTGGAAAGAAGGTATGTTCTGCTGGAAGATACTTAAAACATTATAAATATAAGACTATTCACAACAAGTCCATGAAAAGAATGTAAAAACAATCTTACCCAGCCTCAAGTGACCATTTTATACGCTTCAGTTTTGCTTTTTCATGTTGCATTTATAATAAATTCTCAAAAGAAATTAAAATCTTGCTCTTTAGCTCCCCCCACCAATTTTGACTACGTATTTTGCCAGTATACCTTTCTGAAAGTTGTATAATATTGTCTTAGGGGCAGTAATTTCTCACTTTAAAAAATCAAAGATTAACATCAAGTGCAAATGTTAGAAAATACTGCAGGTAATTTTAATTTCTCTAGAAATCACCAGTATAACAGCTCAGGAAAAAAAATAAGAAAAGATTGCTTGGGCCAAGAAGAAAAAAGCATAACCCAAATATTTTGTTTGCTCTTATACTTGTCTAGTTTCTTGTCATTGCTGCAGAAGATTCACAGAGTACATCACACATCTCTTACTTTGCTAAGCTTCAGGACCTCCAAACACAGAAGAAAGATAGAAGAAGCCTAATTTAATTTATCTTAAAAATGTAGCTCGTTGGTTTTTTTTACAGTTTACCTTTGAAAATGCAACAATTTTCAAGGAGATTGTTGCCAAGTACAAGGAGTTCATTACAAAATCCATGAGGTTCCACCAATCGTGAATGTAGTCCTGCAGTCCACCATCCCACATCTGCTTAATTTCACCCCAGATAAAACCTGTAAATAGAACATAATTCATTAGGCATGAATATTAAGTTTAAAAAAGGCTGTGACTACTTTGGACACTTAACTCATGGTAGATTGATTCTCCTTATATCAAGTGTAAAGGGAAGGTGGGTAAGTGCTCTAAATTACACATCTAGTTAGGTGAAATTTCACCACTCATTATTTCCAGAATTAATTTGTCACACAAAACATCCCCAAAAATATGCTTATACAAGGATAATTTCTCTAGTTTTCTTCAATCTCTTTCTCATTGTATCCTAAAAAGTATAAAAAGGGTCCGAAAGTAAGTTCCCAGTGTCAACTCAGTCCTTAGCAACTCAATGTATTTTATACTGGAAAACTGATGACTGCAGAAGTCAATCTGACACAATTTATTTTGATTGGAACCCACACAATAAGGAAGAGAATTTCTATTCTTACTGTCAATGCTGAGCTACAGTCTCCCTTTTCCATATGAAAGAGTATTATCTCCAGAAGAAAGTCTTTTGTTGACATCTTCCTTTGGGACATGAAGGAATCGAAACTGTTTTCAGGTGTCCAGAGCACACATTGTGCTAGACACAGTGAAACAGAAATATTCCATCCAAGAGGGAAATCTTGCAAGTTGTCTGACATGAACTTGGTTTAACAGCTTCAGAGACAACTGTGTGGGGACTCTTTAATGTTATAAAAATTAAAACCACTCTGAAGAAGATATTCCACTTACTGTATAATATGCTAATAAGACAAGACAGTACATTTAAATGCATATTTCACATTATTATCTACAGAAATCTTTTTATAACAATACCATTAAAGCTTTTAATTTTTCACAGTTAATTATTTTATAGTAGGAATTTCTTATGTTGTGCTCATTAGAGGGGCAAAATTCACCAAAAATAAGGCCAATCTCTCCCACAATGGTGTTGAGATACAGTTAATTCAACATGGCTTTTTTTCATCTGCTCTTTTAGAAAATGATAAACAGATTTTGTGCAGGGGCCTATAGAGTTCTGCATTTCTTTAGTCTGAACTTAATTCTTAAAATTTTGTCTCAATGGGTCTTCTGGTTGACTGGATGGAAAACTTATGTTTTTTCTCAAACATGATCCCTAAGAAGTAATTTCTGGCCTACTATTGCTTGTGCCAGGTAGGTTTTTGAGTTATTACAATTTAATTTTGTAGTGTACTGACTTGGTTTTTCTGTCTCCTGATTGCTTTCAAAAGGAAAAATACCCTTCCTCATTAACTTCACCCTCAAACCTCAGACACATGGTCCCATCTTGTTTCTGTGTGTCATCACCAATAATCACAAGCCTCAGTAGTATCTGAATCATCTGACTGATCCATTTCATAGGATTCATTTTCAGCCATGCTGCTATCACCATTTCAGCATTCTGCAGACCTAGGGCAGCACGCTCTGAGGAAGGACCTCACTGGGAACATGAGGACAGGAAAGGGGGATACCCATTTTACTGCCTACAACAGCCTAGACAGACTGATTGCAACTCTACTTGTAGTGTATCACACAAAACCAGCACAGAAAATACAGCACCATTACAAAGTGAACACTTAATTTAAAGGTGCAATCAATTGTGCGGAGTAGCAGTGAGAGAACAGCTGAACATGATTGCATGGCAGGGGTCAGTATCCTCTAACAGCACACACTGCTACACTGCTCTTAGCTGCCCAAGGCCACCACAAAGGCAACACAGCTCCTACATGCCTGCCCATTTCAGCCAGTGAAATGACTTAACCTCTTATTCTTCAAAGACCTGGTGAACATGAAGATGGTGACAGCAGATCTGCCTCCCCCTTCTCTCCACAGTCCTCTCCAACCTTCATCACACAGTCCATGGACTTGCAAATGTCCCTGCTTGCTCTTCCACTATCTTTTGGGCATAACTTACTAAGACCTAAGCATCATCAGGTCATAAAAGCAGCTGGTTTGTGTGCTGCTCTATCCCCTTCACATTTCAGACACTCATCTGAATCACCTGCATTATAGCACAGAAAAATCACTGTGCTGCAGAAAAGATCTGGCTCCAGGCTCTGAGCTGAAGTCTGTGTAGTACAGACATGGCCCCTAAGTCTCAGTGTCACAAAAGTGCTTTGCTCTTTTTAATTTAAATAATTTTCGCTTAAAAGTTGCAGGCTCTTGACATCTGCAAGACTGCTGTGGTACGCAAAGCAAACAGCTGCATTGATAGAAGATCCCCCAATAAAAAGGCTTTGCAGAAATCAATACACACATTCATAGAATGAAATAAACTTTTTTGTAACTAATCAGAGTTAAGGATACCTTTAAAATATGCTTTGAAAAGACAGCAGTAATAGGTTGGGATGCAAAATAAGATGAATGCTTTAACAAGAGGCTTTAGGTTAATTGAAGTATCCTGCCAAGATATTCTATGGTTCATAACCAGCCAAAGGTGGGAACTGACACAGACTGCAACGGGGCTGTTCTCTGTAAGATTGTTGCTCAGTATTGTATGCTTTGACAGCATTACCTAAAATATAATGGGATTATGTACAGATTGAAAAAGAAATGCTGACTAATGCTGCTCCACTTGATCTGTTTCGTAAGTGAAAAGCCAGACTGTTTTCCCAAGCACTTCCTGGGCTTCAGAAAATGAAATGCAATTTTAAAGTTGACATTAACAGAGAAATACTGGCCTATTATAAAATAGTGGAAGAGAGTATATGGCTGTTGTAAATTTGATCATTTTGAATTAGAAACACAATTAATCCAAGCTACCAGCGATTTGGATGTAATTTGGCAGCTGAAAGTTCTGAGTATACTTTGATATTGTAAAGGTGGTGGTTCTAATTATTTTCTTGGCTCAAGACAACTTTTATGTTCATCCTGATGCATATTCTTTTCAAGCAAATAGTAATGGAAAACTGGAAATCCCATATTTTTGCTGGCTGTAATGGAGATGTGATAGTTTGGTCTTCTTGCTGTACAAATTCAATATATAAATACAGTTACTGAGATCCTATGTGACTCCAGAGAACTTTAAGCTATGCTGATAGATGGATGGATACTATGCTTGAGAAAGACACACAGCCCACACATGCACAGAAGAGCTGCCTACACATGTATTTTTGAAAGCAAATCTTGGTACCAATTCCTAAGATTGATTGCTCAAATTCACAATTCCAGGGCAACCTCACCATGAAAGCTGTGATCAGAGTCTTTGCAGCTACCAGGTCTCCATGGCCAGAGATTCTTAGCTGGGCTCATCTGGAGCAATGAATGCTGGAAGAACTGGACTCTCTAGAGTTCTGTAAATCCTCCCCAGTGTGCCTGAAGGGCTATCCTAGAAAAGTGTACTCTGAACTCCCAGAGCCTTTATGTAAGGCTGAAGATGTCTTTAAGGCCTGGTGAGCTTATGTGATGAAGGTATTCTGAACAATAAGCCTCAGGGATTCCCAGCTGTGCTGTTTAGGTTTAATTTATGGCAGCCAGGGGCCTTGGAATCTTTTTGTAGATCAGAACTGTATCTTTTTACAAGAAGGAAGTGTCTGTGAGGAAGAAGTCAGACCACCCTTACTTCCACAGGCTCTGACACAACATCCAATTTTTTTCTGTTACGTTCACTGGAAGAATAAGGAAAAGACTTGGAAAATCTATGTTGTTTTGTTTTGGTTTGTTTGTTTGCTTTTAGAAAAAATGCATCCAGAGATCAGAGCAGAGTTATCTCTGTGAACTTGTACACTTTTCTACTCAGAAGATTTATGGATAGCTGGGTGCTACCTGATTTTATTATGCAAGAAGGCTTTAGGGCATTTCCAAACACGACCTGACATGATAGAAGAGAAGACAGGCAGTGACAAGACTGTCTAATAGAGGCACTGCTACAGGTAGGAAGGAGATACAGAGTCCAGGCACTGCCTGATTATTAACGTGCCAAAGCAGCAACATTGCTGCAAACTGACAGAGCTCATGTCAGAGCTACACATTCAGAAGCAAGAAAGCTCATGTCTCACCAGAACAGAGGGGACACTGCCAGCCTGCACACAGGTATTGGGGAAAAACTGCTATGAGAAACCAGACAAAGGCAGGGAGTAGATCTGAAAGCAAGAGCCTTTTAGACAGTCAGGCTGGGGACAAGTTGCTTGCCCAAAGCCCTCTTTAGCTCCCTGGGAGGAAACAAGAATCTCCCAGGCAATAATCCTGTCATCTGCAGGTGGGTCAGTCTTCCCACTGGCTGAAAAGGGAGCCATGGAGGATCAGGCTTAATTAAAACAGGTGTTTAACTTCCAGATGCCTCTATTTAGCTGAAATAATTGCACTCGGAGCAGATTTCACTATTTCAGCTGGATATTCTTAGCTATATTCTGTTTGTCTCTTTTTGCTCCAACTGTGTCTTTCCTATCTCTTCACATCAGCCAGAATTAACACCTGCCTCTTAGACCCTCACTTATCCATTCCATGCTGTTATCATTTATTGCCACTTTACCACTTACAATGAAATTATCAACGTTGTGCAGCTCTTCCACTTCATTAATCAAGGACTTAAATTAAAAAGTTGAGGGTAAGACTTTCAAATACTTGCTGCATTGTTTATACCCACATATTGGAACAGTAAAAGAGAAATAATAGCACGGATATTTTGAAACAGCCTGAGAAGACAGAGACAAATTTCATTAAATGCCCATGGTTTTAATGGGATGAAATAGATAAATTCAGGGCAGGAATCCCACAGACCATAGGGGAACGACAGACACCATGGAGAGGTTTTGTAAAGCATTATGAGTTATTATACATGTGAGCTGATCAATAGCAACCATTGACTGAAGTCCAGTTTGCCTGAAACAAGAAAGCAACTAAAATTGATCATATAAAATTAATTTGTAGAAATAAAATGAATTTGTGAGCTAAATATTTTTTGCAGAAAAATTTTCTGAACATTAATGAAAAAAATTGTTTCTTCTAAAATAAACTGCATATAGTAAAATAGGTTTTATTCAAAGCAGCAAAATGAAAATACATCTTAGAAAAACAA